TCTGACGGATGTGTACTAAATCGATTATGTAAAAAATAGGGTAATAATCGATCGAGCCAGATTACATATCGCTCGGTGAAGCGGGTGGCGGGGTCACTGCCCTTGCGTAGTACACACGACTTCGAGACAATTTACTAGAGAAACTTTACTAGATACAATTAGCCAGAATATATTTTTTAATATTTTTAGATGATTTAGCATTATTGCTATGATTAACTTAAATATGGCGAGAATGCAAATCAACATACTGTATTACTTCGCCGTAATATCACCTACCTCTTCTCTAGAATCTTGCTGTTCATCGGCTCTTGTAACAGCTGGCCGAACTGCCCATCAGTTGTGCAGTTTGTGCTTGATGATCACAGTTGGAGAGCATTACAAAGCATTATATTAAAAAAAATCAAATCTTATATCCAACTGCCTCCGTGGCCGAACGGTTACCATGCTGAGTTCGATTTCTGATCCGGGAGAAATATTTGTATGACCTACATGCCTACATTTATTTCTCACGTGAGGTTGAGTGTAATGTATGGTTGTCGGTGTGTGTGTGTGTCCGTGACACCCGCGAGTCGCGACACAGCATTTTCCTAGTGCGAGGCTATGAGCCTACCTACCTAGATATTATTACACCATAATATCCGGTTGGTGTCAAAAATTCCGCATCAAGCCGAACACTTACGATTATTTTACAATATAATTACGATTTCCATTATTTATTTTATGATTAAAATTTAAAACAAAAATATAATTATCACTAAAATTTTTACTGAAGAACGTTCGATTTTTAAGTGGAATTATACCATAGTATAATTAGAACAAATGAGGACCTCCCGTCTGTTAGGCGCGTAAATGCCAATGCAAAAGATATTTCACTCGGAGCCTTGTTATATTATTTATTTTAGTACAGGTTGTAAACGTAATTTGAAAACAATATGTAAGACGGGATTCTCGTGCTGTATTGAGTAACCTGTGTTAAATGCAGCAGATATTTTTATACCAGCATTGAGGATTGGTAGCTTGATTATGGAGTATGATTACGAAATAGAAATTATTTCATTTCTATGAAACTGAACTATTATGATTTTGAGGCACTCTTGTTCAAACTACCACAAACACGACAATAAACATGTTTACTATTTTATTTGATGTTTCCACATCAAGCGGCCGCCCATTTCAATTCTACAGTTAATGGCGCGTGAGACAACCAGCGCTATACAACGCGAGTGCACCGCGAGATTATGCGAATGTGTGCTTCCGTATACAGCGCATTTTTGGGGGTGCACACATATAAGTCGCGCTACTACTTTTATATCAAGTTACCATATTTGCCTCATTATACTGTCTTCACTCTGGCTCATTGACCTACCAACAAATTGTTATAAGCCAATGAGGCAGAGTGAAATTTAGCAGCAGTAGAGCTCCTTGTGAAAGAGTTCGTCCAGGGAAGTACTGCCACCTATTTCTGCCGCCAAGCTTCTGCCACAGCGTATAGCTTACCGACAGGCGCACAATTTGTTCTACCCGTCACTTGATATTATAAAAAAAAAAAAATTGTTGGTAAGTCAATGCTCTAATCAATTAAATTAAACAGTGTAAATTGTAGAAAAACAGCTCCTCCATACTGGAGTAGGGACTATAGTTTGATAATACACCTTATTTGAATCTAACGCTAACAAGGTTGACACAAAAGTGACAAAGCGGAGTGAAAATATTGCGGCCTCTTTCCCTCGCAGCGCCGATACCTATAGAGTGCCTAACTTCGTCGTCGGTCACACAATAATACGATCAACCTCACTAATACGCAAATTAATCGCTTAGTTTCTACATTAATTTATGAGTTTGTGTTTATTTGATATTTATTTATATTACAGATGGTTATCAAATTTACGGGACAAATGTGCAAAGCCGGTGCTAAAGGATGTGCTTCCAATATTATCAGAGTTCTCTCCGGGCCCGCCGCAACGTCCGGCGACGGTGCACGATTCCGTACCGCGATCGCCCGTCAATGTCGTCATTGCGGACTTCGTCGAATTGGATGACGCTCTTTTCCCTAGAGCTATCATACAACTCAACCTGAAACTGCTCAGAAACACCGACTTAGTATATCATAACTACGGTTAGCTTTCGGTAAGACTGAATACTGCCTTAAATGATATTATTGGCTTCCGATTTTTTTCTTGCCTGGTTGCATTTACGGAGTTGATCGTACCTGGATGTTATTTTATAGATATATTATTTAATATTTGTTGTATTGACGTTGCATTCCTGTGATATTTCACTTTTTATTTACTTAATAAGTACAGCAGCTAAGTACAATATTTTCCATAAAAGTGTTCTAATTTCGTTAAATGATTGTATTAAGGTGATGAATAAGAATCTCAAGTGCCTTTATCATATAAAAATATATTTTAAAACTGTACACGTTTGCAAGTTTTACTTAACTGGAAATTGTTTAATTTACATTGGGGGTTGTTGAACCATGTTAAAACCCTTCATAATTGAAGACCATTTCAATTTAAAGTTTCCAAGTAATTTTAGGCAAATATAGCGATATCGACGAACAAAAGCTACAATCGCTCGAGACTTTCACATACCTTTACTCGGATAAAGAAAGCACATACAATTACAATTTAATAACGAAAATATTTACAAGATTATGCTACATTTATTACTTCGGCATTTTTAATACATCCAAACATTTCAGTAAATAAATCAGTTTGCACGAGATGCTTTAAGATGTCTTAATACACGTACACTTAATTATAACCCGTGCATTGATTAAGAACGTGATCTGTGGTTCAAATCTTCCCAGTCCACCCCATTTATTCGTATATGAATTAATTTTATTTACCAAATACTTGGTCGCTAAACTCATCTAAACAAATTCTATCACACAAATCCTTGAAAGACCATCTTTTAGTGCGACCTTCAGCTTTGTAATTATCAAGTGGTGAAAACAGTTTATCCGAAAGTTCGTCCGACATTTCTATGATTCTACAAATTTTATCAAGGCGCTTCAAATCATCCAAAGAATTAGTTAAATCGGCAATGTGTATCACTTGTGATTTTTTTGCATTCAGAGAGTTATCCGAATCCGTTCCATCAGGACTATCTAATTTATCGTAAATATCATGTTTTTTCACCGCACTTGAAGCATTCATTGTATACGTGCATGTGGCAGACGAGGGCGAGGGTATTGAAGTATGCATGGTTTTTTTCTCCTCAGTAACTTTCATTTGCTCTTGGAAGCCATCATCAAATTGCATGCAGACTTGTTCACAAAATACTTTCCCAGTATCAGCGCTACTATTTTTTTCATGAAATAGTACAATACTCCTACGTTTTAATTCCACACCTATACGATCAATATTCTTTATTTTTTTCATATTATCAAGTACATTTATCGTTTTTTGATTTTTTTGAACGTCTTCCAGATGTTGTTCATTTTCACGCGTGGCGGTATTCTTTTCAATATCAACGCTAGGCTCACTTGTAGTGAGGATTTGTACAGGCATGTTAACGTCAACGTTGGCATGACTTATTTTATTTGTGGTTTCTTCGTTAGTGTTGTCTTTATTTGTTATTCTCATACTAGTTACAGTTGGTTGAAGATGAAATTTCATTATTATATTACTAAACGTATCCGACATTTGAGTTTTAAAAGCGATGGATTTATTGGGTAATTTGGTGGTACTTTCAGTGTTTTTTGTTGTTTTATTTTCCGCATCACCTTTAGCTATGGGATCCCCGTGAATTGGCGATTTTTTTCCTGGTAACAGGAAATTCTTATTTATTGAGTGTAAAGACTTTATCGTCTCAACCATACTTAAGTCAGATATCTTTTTGTCGCAAACATTTGGAACTGTGTTTTTGCTGCAACCTAAATGTAATGTGCTGTCACTTATCTTTCCGTCGCCGCTCATATCAAGCTTTATATACTTCTGATTGTTTTCCTGTTGCACGGGCTCCTTAATATCAGTCCCTGTTTTCACTATGTCTAAACTCTCCTTAGGAGGATCAAAGTTAAATGATAATTTGTTGCTGTAAGACTTTTTTAGTAAAAGTTCAGTTATACTGACCATTTTGGAAAATTCTTCTTTCACCTTTTCCAGGCGTTCTTGTGTATTGCCTACTCCGCTACCTGGTTTATTGCACGTTTGAAAAAACGACTCTCTGTTTTGGCGTACATTGTTTGCATTATTAATAATATTTTCGTCATTCCAAATTTTGAATAGTTCTACTTTATTTTTATTGGGTTCGCTAGCAGTAATTGTAGAAGAATGAGCGCTGTGATTTAAGATCATAGGCTTCTTTAAAAGTACAGGTCGAAGTGGAGATTTAATATTTTTCTTGTCTGTTGGTTTAGTTTCTAGTTCAAACACTCGACAACTTTCTTGTATATTTTTTAAGCTATCTTCGGTTTGTTGATTTACATTTTGCCCCTTTGAGATTTTTATTTTTATTTGAGCTAATCTATTTGCCTCTGCTTTCTCAAATTGTTTTTCAGATAAATGTATTAAATCTACTACGCGACAGGCGTAAGAGCATTCATTTTCGTACCAACAAATGATTTTGAAGAAGTTAGGTGCAAGCTGAAGACTGGATCCTGCATCGACTATGCACGAATGAGTTTCGTTCATGAAATCTGAAGATACTCTTTCTTCCTTACAGGTTGTTATAATGTCTTTCATTGTAGTTTTGCTTACTCGTTCAATGTTACGGACGATATCGTCAATAGTAGTAGGTTTGAGAAGCCTGAACATAAAAAATAACAGCATCAAAATATCCTATGTATGAGCTAATAACACTTCAGTGACTGCGATAAAACATCGTTACCGTATTGTAAGATCGAGGACGGACACATTAACGATGGGCACCCTGAAGGCCAAACCGGAGAGCTTATCCCGCACCTGCGGGATGATCTTGCCAAGCGCCTTACAAGCCTCAGTCGTTGCTGGGATAATGTTCTGTAGTATACTTCGGTGGTCCCGCCAGTGCTGTTAATAATAAATGACGAACTAACGATTTGTAATTCTCTTCTCCGTTGCTCTTTCGCACAATAAAATTTGTATAAAAGTCAGGTCCAGAAATTACAGTGTTCCTTGAATCTGACTGAATCATATTCCACATTTTGGATGATAAACGAAAGAGACAGGGATACGTTTTAAAATAGCAAACTAATTTGAAAACGTATAGAACCTTTCCTCTAAGGCAGAGTCCGTCTAAAGGCTTGAGAGACGGCGTCATAGCGTGGATGCTAGTGATGAAACCTGCTTCTACGCCATAGTACTCTTGCAACACTTTGATAATTGGCGCCAGGCAGTACAGAGTACTCGAACCACAGGATATTACTCTCTGTTCTATAAATCAGTGCAGGATGTTAGGGAAGGTATTAAGTTTCATCAAATGTTTCCTGATATCGTTGATGTTCTAGTATTTAGAAAAACAACACTCAATCATTACAGGTAATTTTCTGTACACAAACGATTGTACAATTCAATAACGAAAGGAAAATAAAGTGTAAAGATTACGAGATTGTAAGTGTAACAATGTAGTAACTTTTTAGCATCTAAGGAGTTTCTTGAAGATGGTCATTTACTCAAGTCTCAAATCGTAATCCCTATACTTCACGCCTTCCTAATCGGGGCAGGTGAAGACTACAGTTTTCCTGTTATAATACTTATTTTTCACAGTTATAAAATACTTGAGAGTTTAGGTTTAATTTAAACATTGATAACAACAAATTACAAACATATTATTGACTAAAATATGGGCGTAACAATCTACTATCTTAAATATAAACATTGTATAACCTTTTTGTAACCCATAAGAAGATGACCAAATATTGCAAAAAATATAGAAGTAACTTTACGCATAGACACAAACATTATTATTAGGTAGAATCCGTAAAAGTTGACTTAAAACCTCGCTCGGATACGCTTCGGGGAACTGTGGAAACACGTCAGAGTTAGCAATATGCGCTCACTCTGCTGTTAATTGAGTAATTAACACCCGACATATCGTTGATCCTAAGGAGGCGTAAATTAAATTCTTCGGGTTATACAAGTACCAAAAAAAAGATATATGTGACAGGCTTGGCTGGCCTATCACATGTAATCATAATTTTGCCGTGTATACCAATTTCTATTTTTTGGTCGTTTACTCCTATGACAATCATGGGCACATTTGCACTCGGGGCGGTGACTATGACCCGCTTCACCGTTTTGCTCGCCAGGTGACCCTGGAATACGAGAGCAATTTAGTCTTATTTTTATTACACTGCCTTTTAAAAAGTTGATACTCCAAGTTTACATCTTTTTATATTGACAAATAAAGATGAGGTTACTCGACATTTTTACGTTAAAGTTTTACTATTATTGAAAACACTACACACTAATTGATCATACCACATAGTGCTAAGTTGAAATATTGCGTTATTCCTCATACCTGCAAAAAAAAATTATGAAAACAGGACTACGGATAATTTTTTCGTTTTTTTTAATAAATCCTACTAGAATAACATGTAATATTTGTATTAAGCACTATTATTATTAATTTATGTATTATACCACTAGTTTTCGCGATATCGGGATATAGACGCTTAAAGTCATTTTTACATCAAACTACAATGTTACACATCTAAATTTAAATGACATACAACAAAATACAAAGTTTGTTATTTTTTTTACCAAAGCTTTCTCCATACTCGTGAACATTCCTGAGGCTTCGACGACGTACTGAACTTCCGCTTGGGACCATGGTATACAGACGGGGTACTTTTGCCGGAACACCTTGATTCGATGGTCTGCGAGATGTGGAAGTAGATTTTATTTTATTACAGTATGAATATAAGTACTCTAGGGTGGAATTTGTAAGAGTAAGTATTTGATCTCAGACACAGTTCATTAAACAAGAAATTTTCAATGATGGACAATGATCTAATATATCGTCTCCTTATGGATATAAAGGGCCATAAATGTGGGTTAAATATGATTATATATTTTATTAAAGAACGTAAAGTATCCCTTGACATGCAGTCACGATATTCCCTTCACTGTTCATTACCTAAACCTGGTTCTAATTAATTATACTTAGTATGCTTTACCATTAACTTTGATTTCATCATCAGTATGAGATAAGTTTCCCGGCAGTCTACCGTGTGTGGAATCATACTTAATCAAGTATGAGATGTAGTCTACGTCTAAAGCCGGGTCATTGATTGCAGTTATCTGAGAGCAAGGAGATAAAATGTTTGTGATCTTGTTACGATTTAATAAACTTTTACGTCCGTTATCATAACCGATCGTTAACATATATTTATGTAATGTATCTTTTTAGGTATCTATCTACGTATGTAGGTATTGTATGAAACGAACGCCTGAAAAATTGAAGTTTATACATAACATGTGGTCGGTGCCCATTGAATATAAATATCTCCGTCCCCTTCTAACAGGCACCAGATACACATAAATATGTATGCAGAGATGTAAATACTATCAAACCTCAATATCAGAAGTCTGTAGACAAGTTCTGAAAATAACTCTGCCGACCCGGCCGAACCCATTAATGCCAACGTTTACAACCATTACTATAAATTTTGCAATGTATAAAAAATTGAGGACATGACAAAGGCGAAAAGATATTTTGAATTTACCCCAATGTCACATGTGGCATGTCAACTTGTCAAGCAATGTTATTGTCAAGTTCATGTCAATCTATTTATTAAAAATAAATTTTATTTGAAATATGAAATGCATAAATTTTAAACAAAAGAAGAAAAAATTTATAAAAATAAATTCAATTAAATTAAAAAAAGAAGCATACAAATATATATATATATATATATATATATAAAACAAAAGCATTTCAAAAGGGTCCATGACTCGGCCTCTGAGGACTATGTTGAGTACATAGCCCTCGCTGTTATCCTGTCATGACCACAGAACACTATACTCACAAGGAGGTCATGACCCGTTATAATGTGGAACACCACAATTCAAATAATAATAAATATTTTACATGTTACTTACTTAGAATAATAACGCATAGAATGATAGTTTCATAAAAAACGAACTGTCACAAGTGAGGCAAAAATCAAATTCATGTAGGCGTAAGCAACTTGTATTTACGCTCGTCGACACGCACACAAATATACAAATAATGATGCCATGGAATAACATTTCAAGCATATTACATAGCACATAATTCTAAATCCAAGATGGCGAAGAATTAGAAGAAGAAGAATTAGAAGTCTTGTCCGCCATCTTGTATTCAGATATACATGCCATTTCCTTATGGTTTACCAAAGATACATTTTTAAAAATTGTTGTCAACCATCTTGGATTTAGAAATTAATGCTACATTCGTAATAAGCACTCTAAAACTCCTCGAAAACGTCTATAATTCTCAATCGTTCCCGTCGATCGACAATGTCGAGCAAATCTGTAGGCACCTTATTAAATACTACCCAATTTTTATTTAACTCATACATGAACAAAAACCTACAAGCGAGTTTAAGTGCGACTATCGAATTTGAATATATAAATAGCCTGATATTATCTGTGGGTATGTTTACATGAAAAGTACACGATAACAATAAAGAACCTGAACCTGAAAGTTATTTATACACGATTTTGGAGAACTTGACGATGACTTTTTAGTCAGTGTTAGTTTTTTGAAATAATTTTAGCTAAGAACTTTTGAGTCTGGGCAAGACAATTTTTTAAATGATGAACAAGAATAATGATTTTTCACATGAAACTAATGAAGGCAAATACTAAATATATTTCGTGAAAATAGCTAACGTAAATTCCCTACAATGTTGTTGCGGCGGTGTACATTTGTAGAAATTTTGCAACCGTCGCGATACTGCCTATTCTCAAAAAATTACGTAATATAATTATTTTGAAACAGAATAGCAAAATGGGGAGAAAAAAACCGTTACTTTGCAACATTTTCGTATCTTGTTGCAACGAAATTAATTTTCTGTTTTAGTGAATATTTACATAAAAATACAAGTTCAAACGCGTTACTTCCTTGTGGAATGTGATGTTAGTGATATTTTATATTTGTCTGACCTATTTTTAAACCCAATTACCGCTCATTTCGTCATTTTTAGCAAAAATTTTTGAGCAGTTCGCGGCGCAACTTGACCTTGAACACTGACAGCCCGCTCGCTCGTGTAGGCCCATAGGGCGCCCTACAATTTGCCTCACTTAGCGTGTGCGGGCTAGGTTTCTATGCGTTATTATTCTAAGGTTACTTATAACAAAAATCAAAATTAAAATAACTGTAGACATGCACTAAGCGACTAAAATTTGAAATAAGCAACAATTACTAATGTTATGCTACTTCTTAAAGCCCGAGATTGCTTTCAAACAGCCACAGAAAACATTTATGTTTAAAAGTTGGCAATGTTTGAGACGCTGCCGCACGAACGAGGAGGTAGGCTTAGAGGATGGAAAAAAATAAGTTTCCATAGTCTAAGGAGGAAGGTCATTCCAAATTTTAGAAGCGGAATGTTTGAAACAACCCCCATTGACTTTGGCAACCCCTTATCAATATGACGAGTAATGCTAAGATGGTAGCCCTTTCTAGGCTTGTATAGTTCATGAACTACGAACTATTAGGCGATTAACACACTTCACCGCGCCCCGCGAACTGCGTTTTTTAACGTTTCACTGAAGTACCTCAGTTTGTATGGAAAACACGCGCCGTCGAACACACTGACAACGCTTCTCCGCGTGGGAGCGTGGCGCGCGTTGTTTTACTGCGTTCCAGCGCCGACGGGCGCGGCGAACCGCAGGGTATGGCACACTGCGCTCCGCAATACCGCGCAAATTTTTAATCAATTTGTGTCTAATCCAGTAATTGTCGTTCGGATTTTCCCTAACAAATAATCAAAAGATTCAGTTGACATACGTGTATAGTTGAAAACTTAATCTGCTCTCTCTCTCTCGATCCCAGGTACATATAAATCACTACAGCGATCAACTACGAAGCGAGTACTTTAATTGGCGCGGGGCTGCCCCCGCGCAGATTAAACTGCGCGTAGATCTGCGTCTCCGACACCGCGCGCGTTTCCGCGTCCCGCTCACCGTCGCGGGGCGCGGTGCAGTGCGTTAATCGCCTTAGGAATATATTCCCGACCCGACGCTGACCGACATGAACTAGTTCGTTTTACACGGTTTTAATAGTTCATCATTCTTTTTAGTTCAGTACGAACTAGGAACTGTTCGCGTTGATAGTTCACCTGTCTTTTATTCAGTAGCAACGGTGCGAGCGGGACAAAAAGCGATCTTTCACTTCTTTTAGTACATATAAGTTCGAGTGGGATGCACGATTGAACGTTGACAGCTCGTTTTAAGTCTCTAATACGTATCTACATTATGTATATATGTAAGCTTGCAAAAAAGTAAGTGCTCATATTTTTGGTAGGTGTGGTAGGTATCTGTATGAATAATATCAACCTACGTGTATATGAAATAATTCTATCTAAATATTGATTTTTAAACACACCATTCTAACTAAAATTCTTGTTTTGTAAAAAAAAGGATATTTAGTTAGAATTACTGTCTTTAAACCTGTAAAATATGAAGGAAAATCAATAGTACGTGTGGCGCACTTTAAGTTTCCGGAATCAATAAGAAAAAATCCTATAAATGGTCTGAACTGAATTCATTGTTTCTCAAAATATTCTCCGTTAGCGTTAATGCACTTTTGCTTATGAATGAACCAATTTTGAAAACATTTATGCCACTCCTCCGTGACAATCTCTGAAACAAATTCTTCATACATCAAATTGTTCACCTTCAAAAATTCATTTGTCTGTCTGGCCGTGTAAGAACTGGCATTATCGTGGTGCAAGACAACACGGCGTTTACGGTTATTTTTACGGAGTTTGTCAATAACTTCCGGCAAACAAATGGTCGTGTATCACAATTCACGGTACAACGATTCTCCAAAGCAAGTTGTATTATAAAAAAAAAGAAGCAATCATCCGCTTAGAGGCACTTTGCACGCGCGCCACTTGGTTAGTTTCGGCTCATCTCGAAAGACCCTTACGCTCGATTGCTGCTTTGATTTGGGATCGTAACCATAAATCCATGTTTCGTCACCTGTTACTATGTCCCGCACCAAATTTGACGCCCCTTCGTTGAATCTGGTAAGCATGGCATGGCACCAAGTGACGCGACCTGTTTTTGAGCCTCGGTCAAATTATGTGGGATCCACCGAGAGCACACCTTTTTCACACCCAAATGTTTGTGTAGTATTGATTGTATTTGACTCATGCCTATGCATAAGGATGCCCGAATCTCATGGTATGTCACATGCCTGTCTGTTTTGATCACACGGCGCACAATATCAATGTTTTTGTTGTTGACAGCAGTGGACGGGCGACCATCACGAAATTCGTCACTGAGATTCACACGACCGCGTTTGAATTCTGCAAACCAGCTATAAATAGTCATCTCGCATGATGCCTCATCGCCAAAAGCAGTTTGAAGCCGAGCGAAGCTCCGCTGAGCTATTAAGTTAAACTTCGTCATAGCCATATAAAATAAAAAAATAGTCATATAAAATCGTACTACGAAAATTTTCACGAGTTAAATCCATGGTGATGTAGACAACCAATTTCTAAAATGACGCCACAATGTAGAAACAAGTGACAGTCAGATGAAACTGACTGTATTCCACAGTCAAAGAGATGAATTTTCAAACGCTGTAATTATTTTTTAAATATTGCTTATGTTGGCCAGTTTCGCAAACTTATAGTAATATAATAAAAATAATATAATATAATAATAATTTATTTATTTTCTCTCAACATACAAGGTGAATAGTTTAAACAAAAGATGCTTACTGACTAATGAGTTTAATATTAAACCTTATTTGCGAGAGACTGGTGCCTGAGATAGGCATAAAGATACCTGTAATACAGGTCACCAGGATCCCCGTTACGCGGATTATAATAAATTAGACTAAACTCTTAATTATGAAAATTAGACAAGTAAAATATAACTTTGCTAAAAATAGGTTAGAGTACATGTATATACATTTTTTGATCAACTACAATTACACTTAAACAAGTTATATTAATTTTAATCAAAGAACTAAAAACTAACACATGTAGATGTAGGTACACTTATAGATAATGGATTACAAAAATATAGTTTCAAGGAAGTATGAGAAAACAAAAACAAAAATTTAATAGTTAAAGACATTCAAAAAAATGTTTCAGATTAAAGAGTAGTTCTGTATGTACATAAAGAGAGGGGTTATTTCCTACGCGTGTGTATATTGTGTATTTGAGTGTAGGTATGTGAATGTGCAAATTGTTATTATAGTAAGGGACGCAATAGGTTTTCAGTCGCGTCATAGTCCAATGATTTAAGCCATTTTACCACTTCTTGTTTACATCTGGTTTTTGTTAGCGGATATACTGTTAGTACGCCGTTTATTTTATTGTACAGTCGACTACCAAGGTAGTAGTAAAACTTTTGTGCGAGACTAAGGCGACAGGAATAACTGGCACAAACTATATCTGTCCTACGTTTACAAACAAGTTTGTCTGGTTCATAGGTTAGCTCACTATGTTTTTTGAGCACGGTGGCGACAATAAATAGTTGG